GCTTCGGTCATGGGTAGTCTACATCGCTCTACCGAACGACAGAATTGATAGCGGGTCATGTCGGCCTTTTCTCACAATCAGTCAATCCGTGTGTGTCCAAAGGGCAGATATGGTAGAGTTTGGTTATATAATTGGTAACAACAAGCAACTCTGAGAGATCATATTTTGTGCAAATGTTTCAACTGGTTTTTGTTACTCGTTCGAAGGGAATGTGCGTTTTCTCACTGTGAGCATGAAGTGTTGGTAAAGCGATGAAGTGATATTCAACAGTTGGATAGATCCCAGGCACTGCAGCCACACCTCACCTAATATTCCTTTCAGTAATCCTTGGATTTTGATTCAAGCACCATAGGCGTGACTGCAGTCGTCCCTTCATGGCATCACAATGTGCCGATGTTTCAAAAACTTCTTCAGTCTTGACTTACTGTTGACTGTGGATAGAATAGTCAATGAATAATTTAAGTAATGGTGCCAAAATGGTTTCAAGAGGTCTGATGGATAGCTTAAAGGTTGAAATCTGTTTGCAAGATGAGCAAGGAAGGAAGTGTAAAATAGATGTTCTATCAAATGGCCATGAATTCTTCAGCGTGTGGAACTGTTCGGGGTAATGTAATGCAATTGGCAGTTGTTATGGGACAGCAGCACCGCATCAGAGCACTACGTTCAGCACTCACTCATGCTGATGTAGATTTGTGGCCTCCAGCCCTCAATAGATGCTCAACTGATGTTCTGATTCGGCACCCCAACCACTATTTCATGGTCCTCCTTTAATAGGCACCTAGTCGTTGTCGGGTGGGTGTAGAGCAGCAAACCATTTTGATCTATGCCTCCGTTGTTCCATTCTCTAATTCGATGGTGACGTTGGGTTGCATGTTGCAAGTTCCCTTCACCAGCACTTCCTCGTGCACGCATATGGCAGCTGCACACGATTATGATCTGTGAAGAGTGAACCCACTTAGTTTATGCATTTACAGTTGCGTCGGCGCTAATTCAAAAGATTATTTAATTGGGGATTACGAGTTGAGTTGTCTGCTGCAAGCAGTTATTGCGATAGTGCACAGGGACAAAAATCTCACCAGTATTACTGAGATGTCTGCGATGAAATGAACTCGATACTCACCCTCTTATCGTGTGTTTATTTAGGAGAACATAATCCTCGTGGTAGAACTTTGTTGTAATTTCAGTGCCCCTTTTATTTCAAAGTTAAATACGACTGCCTACCTATTCCAGGTTTCAGTTCTAGCTCACCAAAGCAATTTTTAAAGAGTGATGGAATATTTGAATAACTTACTACATCATTGTAATGTTTAGAAAAATTAGCACCGAATTAGAATTCCGCATATCTTTGGTAGTGCAGGTTTCAATTAAAATTGTGCACACTCCCCTTCAGCTCCACTAGTCTAGTGCAATGGAATTGAAGGAGAGTCATTCCCAAATCAATGGCGGATTTATTGCTTGGGGAGCAAACGCAAGCTCCGATAATAAGTTATAGTTAAAATCCTAAAAATTAAATCATGAGGTTATACTTCGTAGTTATTATCTTGTTCATATCCAATCATGCGTTGATAGATGGAAAAACGGCTTTACAATTGCCTTTTATTCAAGGCAAACCTTAGAAGGTAGTCATCATTGCTTGTGTTTTAAGGGTAATCCACTAGGAAATCTACTAAGTCCTCTAGTTTTTTACACGACACTTAACATCGCTAAGTTTTATGGTCTGATAGTATTTTGCTTTCGATTTCATCGAAGCTTATCAACTCCAGGCAAACCTTTAGTTTGCAAAGGCTAACAAGATTTCGCTATTTCCCAAGTGATGACTTCTCCCTCCCAAGACGCCAAGAACATCATCCGATATCCATGATGATGATACGATGATAAGTTGCCTTGTGCCTTGTATGCAAAATATAATCGCACTTGGTGGATTTACAAAGTAGCTCTCCTCGCTCATAGAACAGAGGAGCAAAGTCACATTTTGGGGATGGTTCATTTTTCCTCGGACTGTGTGCAATTGAATCAGTCAATCTGCACTTTAGAATTAAGAAACAATAAGATTAAGCTGTTGCATGCAGAAATTTCTTCATTCAGCACCGACCTGCCTACACCAAATTCATCGTTTTGTGTGCCCTGAACGATCCAAAGCATTGTATTTCAAGTAGCTGGCGACTGTTCTGTAACAACATGTATCGCACAAAAAGCAAAGTGTGTCACCCCTGTAGTCACTATTTCAGGGCTCCTTCAGGGCTTCCTCCCATCCACATCTATTCACCTGATGGAAGTGGGTAGATCTGCTCATAACCCAGTGCTGCATACCATTCTAGATTGGGGTAGGAGGAAATTCAGTAGGACTTCGCCTCATCCCACACAAGATTAGTGCCGCATCGCTTGAGCTTCATTACAATTTCAACGACGAAACAAGATCATTAACAGTGACAGGGTTAATTCAGAGTATATTAGGTGTAAGTACTAAGTAACTGTACAATTTTTCATTGCACCCTCAAATTGTCCGCCTTTTGTATGTCCTCATTACCCACTTTCAACATATACCAAGCACCCATTGGAGAACTGCAACCCAACTTAGAACCGTAAATCGCCCTTACTTCCAAAGTTGCGTTAAAATAGACTTAAAATCGAACAAAGGCACTTGTCTGAGAGCTCAAGTGTTTATTCGCACTAATTTATTTGCCGCTGTGTTTGCATCCAGGGCACTGGCATTTCCCACCCTTGGTGCAGGCCTCACAGCAGTTGCATCCGTCGTGTTCTGCAATGAGTAGAGAAAAATGCAATTCCAAATGAACATGTCCGAACCAATTCTGAGATATCTACAGCAATATTGCCACTTACCAAACATGCTGTTCGATTCAAATTAATCGATGGATCGCAGTAGCGAATGTCAGTTTATTTATACCAGATGGAGTGACCTTGCACTCAGCTTAACGCCAATGAAATGTGCAACCAATGGAGACCACTAAGATTGGTTGAGAGTGAAAAGCCAAATGGATCTCTCCAACAGTACAACTAGCAGGGAGGAACTAACATGGCAGTACATTTGCATTACTTGATTTTGAATACTGTATCAGACAGGCGCATATTCATAACGTGAAAACTGGAAAAGATGAGTTTATTAATGCTGTCTCGGTAGTAAGTAAAATTGCAAAGTGGAGGTGTCAGAGAGGGTTTGAGTACAAAAGGTCGTATTTTGCGACTAAAGCGCCTGCACATTTTCTGTCCCCTCGACAGTATTTATGAGCACTGCCACTGGAATGGAATAAGGCGTAAGGTAGGGGAGGTAGGTGGGTAGTCTGCTGTGCATCAATCGTGTATTTGGGTGAAGGTGGACATTGTTTCTGCCTACTAGGTAAATCTGCCAATCATATGTAATTTTGTGAGGCTGACCTGGACTTTCAGCCGCCATTTCTTATGTAGGTAACACTTGCGTGCAATGGACTCTGAGGCAAATTTACGCTGCTCAGGTATCCTTTAGCATAGCAAGTCAAATGCATTGCTTATTCTAAATATCTGCGCAAGACTTAAGATTCCCTTTGTCAAAGATCAAATGTGATAGTTTCAACCCATATTTAAATGAACTCAGTTTGTAGACAAGTCTATTGTCGTTGGAGCACTAAATTCCGGTTCCCCTGTGAGTTACCAGATGCGTGCTTTCCCTTCACCTCCCCAAGGCCAATGCCAACCTTACAACTCACTTTGCTTAGCTTTAAAATGGGTGATTATTACTCCCCTTCTCTTTGTTAATGGTGTTTACTTGGTGACTATACAGAGGTGCAGACATAGAAGCAAGTGGAAGGTGAAGTCCACTCCTTACTGTCACACATGAGGTAACGAAATGACCGATCGAATTGTGAGGATTTCACCGACCCTATTACCTTTCGATTATTAGAACTCGAACATTTTACAGAAATCTGCCATCTGACTCTCATCACCAAGCATTCATGGCAATCAGGCTAGTTGCATTTATTGTGTATGTAGGTGCTATTCACAATGAACCCACCCCTTCATAAAAGGACTGTTGTAGACATTCGGTGTGGTCACAACTACTGCGAATGCGCAAGGCATATCCGCATTTCCCCATTTGTGGGAAGTCTTATTAATAATTGAGCAATTTACTGACTGGATGACATGTGTACTCTTTCAACAGTATTTCGACGCTTTGTCTTGATTAGAAACCGCAAAACATTTATTGAAACGACTAACGGTTTACTTTGAAATAGTTTTGTGGGGTTGAGGCAAGTGAGTTTTCATGGTCTTTGTACAATTGACTTGACTTTTGAAAGGCCTCTTTGATATCACAGATTCATATCACATGAAGTTGACTTGTGGTCGCCAAGACCCACAGACTAAAATGCTGGGTCTGAGTCATAGAAGAACTTACATACCTCAGTCTGAATGAGCTTTTCGATACCTGTGAAATCACTTATTCGGATATGTACTTGCTACCCTAAACGCTATAAAAATAAGCACCTCCAATGCTACGTGTTGTCTGAAGCACCACTTATATCTGCGAAGTCCACATTGTCGGAGCATTCCCCAAAAATCACTATAAATGTTGTCAACCTCTTCTAATAGGAAATATTCCCACCTTAGTACTTCAGTATGATGTCTAAGTTTACCAGTTCAGAGTGGTAATTTAGGTGAAGAGGAGTTTCATAATTCGAAAAGTGGTGTTTACATTCTGTGCTTTTGCAAGTGTGTCAGTTTTTACTGCTCACTTCGGCTAAATCGAGCACTCCTATGCAATGCGCTGAGGTTACTTTGTGGCACAGCACTGATAATAAAAATGTCACACCTTATTTCAAGATGTGGCTAAGGACCTCGCCGTGATGGGTACAATGACATTGTATAATACGCACCTCACTCTTCCCGATATGTGGACATGTAATTGAGTAGGACATGAGCACACTAGGGCCCCTTCAAATATGTGTGGATCGCGCCAAAACCGCAAGGAAAGTAAAGCAAACGAGTATGGAAGGAGCGATTAGAGGTGGCAAGAGTAGGGCAGCCCCACTTTAAACGCTCCGTCACATACGATAGGTCGAAATAGATCCTATGCCTGAGCGTCATGAGACTGAGAACCCTCGTCTACGACACTAGTTACATTCCTTATCTACTTTTCATCACAGAATGCCTGTCAAGTATGAAGCTACTTTTGGCGTGCATTTAATGACACTTCTCTGATTTTTAACAGTTGTGTGTGTGTTGAGCTACCGCTTCGGTACAACTTTGAACAGCAATTTATGGTAGAAGTAGCTAAAATATGGAAAAAGAAGAAATACTTTAGTAAGTGCAAAATGTTGGCGCTCATCATGCTCTACTCGATAAAAAGCTTTGTTTATTGGGGAAATTGAAGTGTGGCGATAGGACAATTTTTTCCAATTACAGTCTCCATTTCTACTGCCGATGATCCCAGGTAAGTACCATTGGACTTGGTTAGAAATGATTTTCAAGCCTTTTGTGTAATTTTGGTACCATTAAACAGAGAGAGGTAATTTCTGCCAGTTTTGATATGGAATCAATTAATAGATACAATCATTGCCTCCGTCATTAGCAATGCAAAAGAGTTGCGGAAATCCTTCATTAATGCAGCCAGTTTTGAGGAGGTGTGATAGCCACTAAGCAACGCGATTTTACAATTACGCAACGAGATACATGTAATCGTGTGCAGTAGGTAGCATAGAAGGTATTGTGTTGTGCGCTTAAAGGCATTCATACATGAATCCGTTCATGAGTCTCCAGCCATTTCGGAATGGCCAAACAATGGAAAAACAGTAAAATCGGGTACTCGTACGGTAAAAAATAACAAAGAACTTGTTCCGAATGGGCCTGGATTGGTGGACTAGGTTATGCTTGTGCAGTGTAACTCCGAGTGTGGGCTGAGTGGCGATTCGGCATTGAAGTTGACGAAAGCAAGCAAATCTAAGGTCAGTGAAAATTGCATTAATTTTTGATGTAGTCCCACCATTAGTTATTTACTGTCTTCAAGACTTGGGTACGAAAAGATTTGTTAGGATGGATGCACCACACAAAGAGCAGTGTGCCTCGATTCGTTTTAGCATGACATTGTATTTGTGGAACAAAAGATGCCTGGTTTTGTGCGATTCTTACGGATCTCATCGACTTTAGATTATGGAAACTTAAACACTTTAAGGAAATTTCCTATCTGATCCTTACCACCAAGTATTCATGGCAATCCAACAGGCTGCAGTTATTGCGCATGTAGGATCTATTCACAAAGAATTTAGTTTTTCATAAAGGAACTGATGTAGACATTCGGTGTGGTCCCGACTACTGCAAATGAGCAAGGCATATCCGCATTTCCCCATTTGTGGGAAGTCTTATTAATAATTATGCAATTTACTGACTGGATGACATGTGTACTCTTTCAACAGTACTTTAACTCCATTTTGAGCGACGCATGCCTTTTCACAGGCAGTTGTGTTTACATCTCAAACTCATCGCAAACTACACAATTTTTTGGATTTTGGGATAATAGAAAAGGCTGGATCAAATTTTGACTGTGACTTATGATTCCACGCAAGAAAGTTGTAATAGAATGCACGTTTTTTCCCATTCTCCATCCTCTGCTGCCTTCTTCAAACAGCTGAACAGCCAAACACCTATTAATGTTGCGGTCATGATTGGACTGATGCATCCAAGTGGGCGGTTCATCGAAATTTCTAACCTCAATTACTCAACTCTTTGGTCTATGCATTTGCATGCATGCTTGAAATCCCTGTGCAAATGTCTGAGCAATGGCCTCAGAATTTGCAAGAAAGCAGTGCGCTTACTATCAATGATTATGCATGTCAACTAGTTCATGACTAAATCAGCATCTTAATTATGAGCGGAAATATAGTGTGATCGTCTTGTAGAAAGTCAAAAGTGCTACTCCTTTAGCACTTCTAAAGTACTCGTATCGTGACTAAAAGAAGGTAGACTTGTGAAAGCAAAAAGTGCCTTATTCACAAAGAGTACATTTGTTGCACCTACTTTTTCCTTAATAATCCATGCGAGATTTATTTGTTAGGGTAAAAGTGAACTCATTATTTCTGGTGTACTTCGGGTGGGGAAGGAGTGGTCTCAAAAATAAAAGAAAGTTTTTGTAATATTTGTGTTCGAGGCAAATCAAATAATAAAATTTTGCTCATCCTGTTTGGCAAGTAAATTGTTAACCATTTATAAATTGGTAAGATAATTTCAGAAAAGCCTTTTCCTCATTTGGGCATTTGTGGATTACTAATAATGAAGGAGGTGTTATTCCTTCCTAATCAGCCGACAAATTATAAGTTTGAGTGCATTCCAGAAAGGCAAAGCGAGCGCGGACTTGATTCTTGTCAGCACCTCAATAACAACATTTACACTAACACTAATACCAACACGATTTGTTTATTTGCGATAGCGTTTGTTTCTACTTAAACTTTAAGAGTATGCGTTTAGGCATATGTTAGCAATTTTCATACAAATGACTAAACAAATCTGCGTTTATTGTAAGCAATGTGTCCTTACCCTTATTTATGCCTTTTGCTCGTTTTATCAATGGAACTCCTGACTGACAGCATTCTGTAAAGTTCGATTCTATTGTGGATATACGTAGATGTTGGGCGTAATTGTCCAGAGCAGTGCTTTAACTTGGTGTTTGTTCTCGATTTAGTCTTGGTTTTGCCTCCGACTACACGAAGCTTGCAGTTCCGTCTTAAGAAGTGTTTCAATGAAAAAACATTTTACGGACTTATTATCTAGCCTTGAAATGCCCATTGTTTTATCTATGCAACAAAATGTTGCAAAGGTTATGTACACTCAAAGCTAACGAAATTAAATAAAAATAAAGTAAATGCAGAGAGATATTTGGTTTCCGTAAGCAATATAGGTAGCGTTATACTTTTCGCTTTCTAGCAAACTCAGTTATATTGTAGTGGTATCTAGCTAAAAGCATCTATCCGCTTAAATATATAATATATATATATATAAATGTTAGTGGTTAAGGCTACCAAATTGCACACATTTTTAAAATTTTGGGCTTGTATCATGTTACAATATGACAATTTTCTTTAGATAAATTGCCTTGACATCATTACTTAATTTTACTTCAAAAGCCACGCATGCAGAGAGGCAATATCAACTAAGGTATTTCGCAAAAATAGGTTAAGCCTCGTTGTAGGCTTATGTGTGTTTTTGCATTGCGTTCTTTGCCTCCACCAACTTCTACACTTACACGCAAACAAGCAATTGCAAGAATGTAATCACAAAGAGCAGTGTTGCAAATCTCACCTAGTGGATACTCATAACAGCAGTGGATCATTTTATTTACTTACAAACTAAGGCACTATCGGACTTTCACTTTTGAGGTTGGTTATATCACTGCAATAACCTAATGTCCGCGTCAAAGTTAAAAATATCTTTTTCTGTTTCCTGCTAATTTGGATGGTAAAATAGTAAAATAAATAAAAATACATTTTTTCATTTTAATATGCCCTAGTATCTATAACGAATATTGCGATGATATTTTACTGCATTCCTTGCATTATATATGTTACGTGAAGTGCTTTTTCGGGTTTGCATTCTTGAAATGCAACAGCATTTTCCTTCAGTTACTGTACTCTTCATGAGAATGCAGTTTAATTTATTGTACAGAGGTCAGAAGCTACTTCCGATCTCAGCATTTGTTGATGCGGCAGTGTGGTCTTATCAACAAAGTACCAATTCGTTGCACCTCGCGAAACTAGTAACCACATAGGCTTTTGAAATTTTGAACGTAAGTACCAGAAGGTTGAAACACCATAGTGGCAAATGGAAAAATGATGCATGAGCAAATCGGTCTATTCCAAGCATGACTAAAATGACACTTATGGTGTTCACACGTGGAAGCACCCACCTACCCTTAAGCTCTGACATACTCTCATGCAGGCTTTAGTGCTACAGAGAGACTGATCCCAAACAACTTCGGATTGGCATTTGCATCTCTACTTCGAGAGCACCTCAACACAAAATATTGCCAAATTCTCATTACTTCACACTAAATTTGTTAAAAATTTGCTTTGCAATTTTCACGTCAGGTGTGCACGAATATGTCGTCTCTGTTAAACCTGTGCGGAGAAAAGAGTTGCTTCTCCCAGCATAAAAGGAAGAAATTTGTTCATTACGAATATTGTAAGCCACATTACTGTCGCAGCTTACACATGCAATTCAGATGTGAGCAAGGAAAATTTGAATTTGGCAGTATATCTTTTAATAATGTAGGATAAAGGGATGGACTATTGTTTGGACATGCATCTGTCACTTTGACTCCTTCAAGTGCAATCAGTCTGGTCTCCGTCAATCCGATGTAAGGACGGCGCACTTGTGCCGCTACTGTCATATCAACAAAACAAGCTGATTTTTGCGTGCGGTAAATGCTCCTTTCTAAGACTCTTTAACGCATTTTCTGGTTCTCTTCAAAAAACCAAAATGCCTTTAATTTTTCAGATTCCATGTTGTAAATAGTAAGAAATATGATACCAGCTAGAGTCAGATGAACACCCACCATTGCTCTTTTATCAAAATACATTCATTTTGTATTTTGAGTGGGTAAAACTCCGATTTTGATTATTTCTTAAGACACCCTTGATGGAGCACTCTATAATCTAGCTTAATTACAGATTATATGGAGATGAACCACCTGCTGAAAAACCCCACATTACTCTCATTTTAAAAAATATCTATAAATTTAGTAAAATCAACAGTTTTGGAAGATACTACCATCTCTAGCCTAAACAAAGAATATTTATCAAGCTTACGACAAATTTAAAGATTCAAAAGCGATGAAGTTTTCCATTGGATTCACATTTGCACTGACAACTCCATTTTCTGTTCTGAAATATGAGTTTCACTTCGTTTAAGATTCTGTTCTGGAATAAAGAGGGAACAAATGAAGCAAATTGATGAACCTTTATATCTAACACTGATTTCAATAACACTTATTTTTTGTAGCTTATGTAGAAAAGGACTAGGTGGCGACTTTATCTCCTTGCTAATTGCAAAAACGAGTAGAATAGAAGCAGCCAAAATATTTTCTTTAACCACACAGTTTATTGCTGCCATGGAAATTTGTTTGCTGCTTGTGTGATGCGACAGCTCTGCATTACAAATTAACTCCAAATCAGCATCATTATTTTGTAGACAGTGCCAACTTGGGAGGAGGAAAAAGTGGTTTCTTGCTGTACTTGGGTCGGACCACTTGATCAGGGAATATTCTGATTAGGAAATTATATCAAAATAGAGATGAATTCGTAGTTTGAATCTTATGACCACTAATGCTTGGCTATGTTAGCTGTCTTGTCATGAAGACGACGTTTGGCAATGCCGATTATAAGTACAAGAATTTCTGGAAAAGCAAATACAGCATAGACAAGTAATGGTTAGGTATGATCGAAACGCCAAATGATGGCATTCTAATAAATGGCACATGGGAAGAAGTTCATTATTAACAATTAGTTCTGCCGACGGTTTAATCCAAACGATGGGTTGATAATTATCAAGTAGAATTCGTAATGATGGGGACGACTACATTTGCTTTACGGTTAATGTGGATCAGAGACAACATCTGGCATGGCCACGGGTGTGTCGATGTTGAATCACAGGAGAAGTGCTAAAAACCTTTACAAAAAATATAAAAAAATGAGCACGGAATTCTCATGGCAACAATTGGGCGGATGTTTAATAAGGATTATTTTATCCATTGTGGTCAGGACAAGGCCATTAGAGCATGTAATCAGTTATATATGATTGATAGGCAAAAACTGGTAGCTCCGTTCACTGTCAAAAGACGCTATCGTCAAGGTAAAACAATATTAACCACATTTAGTTCAAAGTCATGTATTTGCAATACATCAAATAACTAACACGAGTCTGGCGTATAGACACCGTTTGCAGGAAACACTATTGTAATATATTTGCATTGCTTGATTCTAGATATTGCATCAGACTGGTATAGAACTGTCAAATAAACACTATGAAGGACTAAATAATTGATGATAATTTGACTGCCTGTAAAACTGTACCACAAAAGTGTTAATGACATAGTCTAAAGTGCTTTTTTGCTGCTTTTTATTCAAACTTCTCCGTTTTGTTGAGGAAAACTCGTGTTTCGTCGAAAATAAACATGATTTTTGAGCTACTTCCCTATTTCATACACAAGTTAAATATACTGCTGCTTTTTATTTTGCATAAGGGTGAACTCGCAAAGGCAGTCTGTGATGATTTTATGGGAAATTTCGGCTTTGTTTTAAAGCGTTTACAAGATTCTTTAATTTATTCCGTTTTTACTCAAATGGTGCTTTTTTTTTGTTCATGCCTTTTTTACTTCCAAGTAATCATATTTTTTGCTAGTATGCTCTTTCCTGGCACTTTACATCTGAGTTTGCTGCAACGATATTTCAAGTATGCTGCCAAAAAATATGACTGCTGTCGATTTCACATTATTTTTTCGTAATTTGAGCAATTAACTTGCCTGATACTTGCGTAAATTACTCAAAGAGACGCACAGGATAGTCATCACGATAAGTCTTATTAAAAGGATGTTATGTTTCTTTAAAAGAAAGTCAATGGAAATCTATCTTCCACACCTGTCTTTCGTTCCAAATCCATCAACTTTGAAGGTACTATGGAGTTAATCGTGATTTTCTATACCTCTGATTGGCAAGTACTGACAAAATCAGGTGGCAAACAAAATTCTATGTAGAATTAAATCGATTCAGGAAAACTTTCGGGTAGAAACCGCAAAATCTGTCATTCAATCAACCTTGTATCCTACAATACTTTAAAAAGGGTTATTTACTCTATATATTTATGAAAATGGGGAAATAAATTGCTTCTAACGGACAGTTACAGAAGAGTTGTAGATGATCAGAGGCTTGTTATTGGTCTTTTATTAATGTCCAACAAATTTATTGTTAATTAAGTCAACCACAGCCAAAAATGCTTATGCGACATAAAAATAGAGAAGTATAAGCTGTTATTGTAATAATTCTTTTGTTTATTTAACTTCTCATTTTGGTTAGGCGGACACTAGTGTGATTGCGTATTGTACATTTTCTTGGCTTTGGTGAAGAATGTCATCGCTCCTGATGGTAGGAAGATTATTTTAGGCCAAGTGGTGATGCAATTGTGCAAAGCATCTTTTTCTCCTCCGTATATAGGAAAACCTACTCATGTTTGACCAACAAAGTGCCTGTCACTCAGGCAGTCAGTGCAAATAGCCATAGTTTTCAGTGAAAGCATCTGCCTATTTTCCACCTTTATGACGGTGTTAATTCGTACTGCAGTCGTGTTGGAGTAAGAAGCAAAGTAAGATAAACACGTAAGTAGTCTTGTTCTTATCAGTCTTACATCTGGTAGACAGGGAAAGTTATTTCTGTCTACATAATAGATCTGCCACCTATTTGTTGTTTTACAAACTCGAGCTTGACTTTTGAAGTCCTTTATTGCCAGTAGAAGATGTGATCGCGATGATCACTGAAGCTACATAAAGCTAGTCAGATATTTCCGAGTACAGAAATCCCAATTTATTTTCCGTTTTCATAAAATCCTCCTAAGACTTGAAATTTCTCTTTTCCAAACACGAATGTAGAAAACTCTCCCCTTGTCTGAAGGAGCTCATCATAGAGACCACGCCACTTTTATTCGAGATTCGAATTTTATTTTCCTAGTGGAATTGACCGGATACACGGTTTTACTTCCCTGAAATCATAACATATTTACTAAAAGGACTTACAATGTACTCTGCATCTCTTTTTAATTGAGGAAGCAAATAAGCTTTAACCGAAGATTCGTGGTTTTATTGGACTTTGTAAGTGCGAGTTGACTCATTTAGGAAGCACCTTTGAAAGCACTGCTTCCTACCACATGACTCAGACTCATGATCGCGAAGACCTGCAGACTGAAATGCTGCATCTGCAACACCAAAATTCACATTCACCTAGTCTGTTACACCTTTTGCAACTCTCCAGTAGCCTATTCAGAAGCTCACTTATTACACAAAACGCCATTTTAACAAACAGCTTCAAAGCTGTGTGTTGTCTAAAGCATCACTAGAATCTGAAAAAAGGTAAGTTAGGTGCCCATTATTAAGGATTCCATTCAAATGATTGCAATTGTTGTTGTGCCTTTCACAGGATATATTCCCAACTCTGTGATTCGACATGATGTGCAAGTCCACCAGTACAGAGCTTTCATCGAAGTGAAGAAGGGAGCAATGGTTGCGAAAGTGGTGGGTTTCATTCTGTGGCTTCTTATATATAGGCCATCTTTAACACTCTTTCCATCTAAATCCAGCCATATACTTTGTAATTGACTAAAGTTGACTTTCGGCACAACAATTTTATATTCAAAGTGCCACTTCCCCTAACCTTACCAACACGTGGATATGCATTTGATTAGGATGTGGGCACGCTAGACCCTCTTCAAATCTGTATGGATCGTGCCAAAAACACACCGAGGGACAGCAACCGGGTACGAAAGGAGCAATTGGAGGCGATGCGAGTGGAGGCAGCCCGCTTTAAGCTCTCCGCCATCTACAACGAGTCAAAAAAGATTCTCCGCCTGCTAGAACGAATTCCTGAGCAGCATGAGACTGAAAGTCATCACCTACGCTGTGAGTTCCCTTCTGCCACTATTTCTCAACACACAATGACTGCCAAGTTTAAAATGAAAGGCAAAGGGCATCTGTCATTGCTTAACCACCACGTTCAAATTTACCTCTATTGCGCAGTTAACGCAGCTTCTGAGGTATGCAACATGTCAGGAGGGAATTAGGCCACGGGTTTTGTGCAACATCAGCCACTAATTCACAGAAAATAGGTGCTTAGATATAGAAAAAAGGGGAAAGAACGTAGTTGCAAATGCATTATGCTGAATCTTAGCATGCACTAAGTATGCAATTCAGTTTACATGGTACATTCATTTTCTTTGTCTATTTTATGCTAGCAATAAAGCACGTGGTCGTATTCACGCCAAACCTGGCTTTAGTTCGTGGTCCTCCAATTGTAGAGTACACTTTGTGGAATAAGTATGCCACATCTTGAGCGGTTAGAAGTACCGAAGCAGGTCAAGGTTAGGGATGCATAAGTTGCCACATACTGATAACCGGTAGGCCCCAGATCGCAATCTAAACGCTTACACACACTGGTAATCCAAACTTATAAGGTTGCCAGTAGGGTCAGCTGAATGTGGTTTCATTTAATGCCTCTAAGGTAATCAAAATCCTGGGAACGTGCATTTAGAAATACGACTATTTCGTCTCTGATTTCTCTCCTGGCATGCAAATCACCGAATGCGTTGCTCACAGTCTCAGAGTACCCGTTAGCTACTAATCCGAGTGGTCGTGTCTTTAAATTTGGTCGTTATATGAACTTGAGATCTTCTTTAACTAGACTAAATAAGCAACAGTGGATGTTCACGACCTCATGGGAGCTACTGGGAGGGTTGATTTGTTAGTCATTCTTGCCATCGACAACTAAATAAAATAAACTACAATTATTTAACTCTGGAAGGTATTAAGTTATTTTCTCTTTTCCAATTTTGCAACCGGCTTAAATAGGCTCATAAGTAGATCTATAACTACATCCTAGGTGTAGGTGAATGTTTACAAAATCCCGTCCCACGTGCTACCACGAAGCCATTCCAATGATTGCTTAACACAATTTTATGGAAACCCATTCCAATGCAGAGGACATTCAAGTGTGAGGCGGTTTAGACCAGGATTCCTAATTTTTGAGAAGACTGAATTGCACGCGAAGCCAATACATTTGCAACATATTTTTTTTCCCCATACAGTAAAA